GATTTGTGTAAAACACTTGAGTTCTAAATCAGAGGTCTGCATCTTTTCTATAAAGAGCCAGAGAGTACATATTTTCAATTTTGTGGGCAAAAATCAGTCTCTTTTGTACAGTCTCTGTCATAACTTCTTAACTTGGCCATTGTAGCAGGAAAGCAGCCATAGACAATGTGTAAATGAATGGGCTTGGCTGTGTTCTAATAAAACTTTATCCATGGGGGGTGGCCCGGAGGTTACTTGCTGATCCCTGTTCTAAATTATAACAGGCCCCTCTGAAACTCAGTTATAAATTTTTATTCTGATCAGGACCTATTTATTAGGAATCTATTTGGTGCTAGGAATCACACTAGGGATGCAGAAGTAAGTAAAAAATGTGTCACCCCTTCTCTTATGGAGTTAACAGATATTAAAATTTACAGATATTGAAGAAATATCAATACAATAACTAGATAACTCATACAAAATTCAACTGTAGCTATGTGCAATTAGTGAGAAGTTCAGGGTCCTCTGAGAACTTATAATATGGGACCTAATCCAACACAGAGGACCAGGAAAATCCTCCATGAAGAAGTGACATTTTGAGGTAAAATTAGAAGGCTGTGGAGGTGTTGGCCAGGTCGAGTTGAGAGAGAGAATATCTCAGAGAGAGGACATAGCACAATGAAGGCCCAAAGAGAAAACTTGATTGACATATATAAAAAGCAGAAAGAAGGCTAATGGACAGGAATATAGACTGTAAAGGAGAAAATTACATTAAATAAGCCGAGGAGGGAGGTAGAGCTCAAAATATGTGAGCCTTGTAGTGCAATTTAAGGATTTTGAAAATATTTTGGACTTCATATGACATACAATTAGGAAATTATGTTAATGGAAGCTCCATTTGTTTAATCTAAATTTGAGGCTCTTGATCAAGATTTTCTGAGTTGGACATATAGCCCTGGAGTACCAGGTATGAGACCTGAATTTACGAGATTTCAGACTCATAAGCCATGGGAGTAGACGAGATTGCTTGGTTAGTGTGAGCAATGGAAAGGTAAGGCTGGCGCTTGGGGTACAGATGGAAAAGTCAGCAAAGGAGCCTGTGCCCAGTTCAGAGAGAAAGGAGGTGAACTAGAGGAGACCAGCGAAGGCAAGGTCAAGAGAAGTCAGATAACTAGTAAAGGTCCATGCAGCTTGCAATTACCAGGTCTTACCGATAGCCGTTTCAGTAGCTAGATTCAGACAGAACCTAGATTGCTGTGGTTTTGTGACCAAATCAAAGGTGAAGACACAGAGGCAGTGAGTAGAAACATCTTTTTTTTAAAAAGCCTTGCTGTGAGACGTCCATTCCTGGTCAAGATGTAGAAAGAGGAACTAGATTTACTCTCCCATTTGAAACAACTAAAACACTGCACAAAAATATATGAAACAACACTCAAAACATTGGACATTTGACAACAAAGGACAGTGATCTCTTAGAGATGGGAAACAGACGAGGGCAGCCATACAGTGATCTCAGCTCACTGCCTGAAGAAATTATCCAAGAGGCAGAGCAGAAGGGAGGAATTGACACAGTCTGATAGAGGAGCTGGAGCTGGAAGTGTGGGGAGCCAGATAAGCTAAAATTCGCAGTTAGAGTACCAGATAAGAAAGAATACTCTGGAGGTCTGCAGAGTGTCCTGCTCAAGTATTTGATGGATTTCTGATCCGATCATGTGCTTGAAGAAACCACTGGAGACTAGGAAAAGAACCACACAGAAGGACAAGAGAGAACAGTGTCCAGTGCTCACCAAGGGCAGAGGGTAGTGCCTGTTCCAACAGCCAGAGGGGAAGACGTCACAATTTTGAGAGCATCAGTTATCAGTTAAAGTAAGAGGAAGTTTCTTGCCTCAGAAATGGGGAAAAAGGAAACCTAGACTAACACGAGCTCTGGTGCTACCTAAAAAGCTTAAGTGTAAGACTCAAATGGATCAAACTGTTCCCGAGTTTTTAACTGTGCCCCCCCCAAAAAGCTCAAGAATGGCTTTAGGAATGCAAAACATCCAACAGACAACAAGGTAAACGAACAGCGTGTGACGTCCTGTCAAAAATTACCACCCAGACCAGGAAGAAGGGAAAGCAGAGCCAGGAGGAGAGGAAAAGCAATCAGCCCGAAGGACACAGAAACGCACAAATGAGAGAAGCAGTAGACAAGGTATTATTAACGTGCATTCAAGAAGCTAGAGAAGACATTGAACATGTTCCGACATGAAAGATATAAAAAAAATCCAAATTGAAATTCTAGAGATGAAAGCTGAATGGTCTTTGTAGTGATTAGACATTGCAGAAGAAAAGATTAGTCAACTCAAAATCATAGCAATAGAAACTATCCAATAAAACAGAAAAAAAGAGCAAAACAACAACAAAATCAAACAGACCATCAGTGAACCGTGCGACAACACACAACTACCATACGGCCCAGCCATTCTGCCCCTAAGAATTTTCCCAAGAGAAACAAAAGCATATGTCCATGCAAAGACTGGTAACAAATGCTCACAGAAGCTTTATTGTAATAGTCCAAATTGGAAACAACCCAAAGTCCACAAGCAGTTGAATAGATAAAAAAAAGTTTAAAATATATCCATATAATGGAATGCATACTACCAAACAATAAAAAGGAATGAATTATTGATGCATGCAAAAACACTGATGCATCTGAAAATAATAATGCTGAATGAAAGAGGGCAGACAAAAGAGAACATACCATGGAATTGTATTTATATACAATTCTAGAAAATGCAAACAAATCTGTAATGAGAGAAAGCACATCAGTGGAGGAAGGGAGCAGGGAGAGGCAGGAATTACAGAGGGACATGAGGAAACTTCTGGCGGGCATGTATTTGCTCATTATTTTGATTGCAGTGATGACTTCATGGGTATATATATATGTAAGACTATATCCAATGGAATATTTTAAACATTTGTAGGTTGGTATTTCTCAGTTATATCTCAATAAAGCTGCTAAGAATAAGTAAACAAATAAACTTGATTTTGAAACAAAGGAGAGAAATGGTTTAGCAGTTAGAAGGAGATGCTGGGTTGAGTGACAGTTGTTTTTGTTTGTTTGTTGAAGAGTTTTGTTTTGCTTTGTGTCTTTTATAGAACAAACTCAAGCAAATTTATAGGCTATAAGTTTATATATCTGTATGCATAGAAAACTATAGGAAAGAGAGGACCCGATCAATGGAGCAAAGTCTTGAGAGAGAAGAAACAGAACATTCAGACCCAAGGCCAGGGATGCAGTTTGGACTGGAAAGAAAGAGGATATGGATGTGAGGACACGTGTAGGGTACACAGCTCAGTTTTTAATTCTCCAAATGCCAAACTCTGAGAATAAGCTGTTATTTTTAGATACCAGTAACATTAAGCCAAATTAATCAAATTTCCACATCTCCCCCACTCAACAGTGGTGTGTCTCCTTAGAAGAAATTTCTCCCAAATTCAAGGATTCCTTCCGAGTTTAGGTTTTAACTGATAGGAATCTGTGATACACTCACACTTTAAAACCAAGATGATTTTATTGAAAAGTGGTAAGTGCCTTTCTCCTTAGCAGGAAAGGGCTCTAAGTTAGAAGGTGCTTTGCTCTGACTTTATCCAAGGCTCTTTCCTATAAGAACCTCTGAGCGATGCTGAGAGCCCTGATGTTTGTCTCACGCACATGTTTGTGTAACACAGAAAGAGAAGCTGTCACCTTAGTGAGAGGGATGCTGGTCTTCAAAATTTCTAACACTCAGACACACACAAAACACACACACACAGAGGAGTGCTTACTGCACAGTAATTGATATTTAATTCAATGGGGCTGAAATAGCACAAAAACAAAGTGTCAGTTTAACAGGCTCACTTGTCATTTCAGCATTAAAATAACGTGTAACTTAACGCTTTAATTTCCTAACGTGCCATTTTATTTAGAAAGATTCAGACTTCTAGGAGCATTCATTCAGGGAACTTTAAGATGTAGGCCACTACATAAAATCCTGATTCTGTAAAAACAGTTTCTGTATCTTTGATATTTATTCAACAGGTTTATCGCGATGTGCAAATTAATGATGAACGTTTTTGATCTCTTTAATTTCAGTCAGAACCCACATTCTCAACCAACGTTCACTGAATGTATCTGGGACTAACAACTGCCAGCAGACAGAGAAATTGCTGTTCATTTAACTATGGGTCGCGTTGGACCAAAATTTTTCGTTTGATTGCGCTTTAAGGGGTCTCTCGAGGGACCAAACATGGCACTTTTCCAGTAAACCAAGGAAATGGAACTCCCGCCTCAGGGGAGTTTTCATTCGCCACCCTCTTTCAGGTCACGACCAAGCCGGCTTCCCCGCATTTGGGCGAGTACTTGGGGAGGACTCATCTCCCCGAAAAATAAGCTGAGGAAAGGGGAGCTGAAGCCACTGAACCCCATTCTCAGCCCCTGGGAGGAGGGGAGGCATTCTGGACCCTCTAGCTCCGGACTTCGGGCGGGCGCCTCGGACCTGCTTTAAGTGCAGGAAAATCTGTGCACCAAGTTGTCTCTCCAAACGCGCTCAGGAGTTGTGGCCAGAGCCGTTGCCGGGCGCGTCCAGGGGATGCTCCACCACGTAGGGGATTCAGGTACCCTCTACCCTGGCGCCCAACGGGTTGGTTGTCCGGGGGACAGGAGACAAAGATGATCCGGGCTGCTTCTGTCTCCGGGAGGACTGGACGGGGCGTGAAGGAAAGCCGGTTTGGGGCGCCGCCGGAGGGCAGAGACTGGCGCTTTGGCTTTGTCCGGCGCCCTTGGAGCGCGCTGTCTCTCTCGCCCGTGCCAAGCCCCCAGTCCTGGGGCAGGGCTTGGGGCGGGAGAGTTGGGGTGTGGGCGGCACCTGGAGCCAACACTCGTGCGACAGCAGCTCCAGCCCCTTCCCCGCGTCCCCCACCACGCGGGGGCGGGAAGTGGCGGGGTAAGCGTCACCCGAGCGTGATTGCCCAAGGCCCCCCTCCTGCTGCGGTGAGGGAGCGCCATAAAAGCCCTGTTGCAACCCGCTCTCGACACCCCATCCTCCGGCTCTCACCGCTCCAAGAGGCGCGCCGGACAGCAGAGCACCCGCCGCCCAGCCACGCCCGCCCACCAGCCTGCCACCGTGAGTGCCGCGATCGGCTCCGCCAGGCGGGAGCAAAGGGGGGACGCCGGTGAACTTGCCCGGGGCGTCGTCCAAGCCATGCGGAGTCCTAGGACGCTGGGAGGGTCGCGCCCTGCTCCCAACCCCTGCGCGCCGCGCTCCGACGCGCGCCAGCCTCTCTGGGCGGCTAAATCCCACTTGCTCCTTCAGGTCCCCTCTGATTGTGCATCTGCCCTTCTCCCGGCTGGGCAGTCCTTCTGGGTTATATTTTGGCGCATATTGAGGGGGAACACGACCTGCAGCCCAGGGCAGCTGACAGTCTCTTCCGAGGTCGCTGCCCGGAGAGAGGTTTCCCAGGCAGCGCCCTCTGAATGAGGAATCCCCGGAGTTGGAAGCCCCGCGCCCTGCCACCTCCCGGGATCCTTGGGGTCAGAACTGAGACTGACTGGCCCGGGGAGCAGTTCTCTCCCCTCTGCCCAAATTGCCACCTCGAAGTAATCTCAGCCATCGCTGTCGAGCTCCTGCAGCCGGGCAGACCAAAAGTACGAGCGAAGAAAGTTTTCTCCTCTGACAGAGGTTTGGGGAAGAGGGTAGGAAAGCGATAATCCCTCAACCCAGCGGGAGGAACTTCTAATTCTGTGTTTCAAGCGTCTAAACTGGCGCCAGCGCTCCCACCCCTCCACCCCTCGCGCCTCTCGCCCGGCGACTCTTTGGCGCTGCAACTTGGACCCGAGTTGCGCGGAGTTTTCCGGCGGAGCAGAGGGGCCAGGCCAGGGCAGACCGTGCCCCGGGGAGGCAGAGCGGAGCTCGCCACGCTCCTCTTTCCTCTGCGGGACTGGGTCGAGCGCGGACTAGGGGTAGAGGGTGGCAGCAAGGGAAGGGGCGTGCGTCCTCTGAATCCCCAAGCCCCGTCTGCTGCGCCTGCTGTGTCCGCAGATGCTGGGTAGCAAGCGACTGGGGCTGTCCGGACTGACCCTCGCCCTGTCCATGCTCGTGTGTCTGGGCGCGCTGGCCGAGGCGTACCCCTCCAAGCCTGACAACCCGGGAGAGGACGCGCCGGCGGAGGACTTGGCCAGATACTACTCGGCGCTGCGACACTACATCAACCTCATCACCAGGCAGAGGTGGGTCGGTTCGGTGGGACTGACTCCGGAGCGCCCTGCCCGCCCACCCGGAGATCCTGGCATCGTAGAGGACAGGGACCATTTCTTTTTCTTCGCTGTATCACAGGACAGGACAGTATCGGGCACATACTTGGCTCTCAGTAAATGTTTGCGCAGGGCACTGAGTACTTTCCCTCCGCAACTACAGTCGTAAAATCGTGATCCTCAAATTCAGGTTCCCTAGGCTGTGTGGCTGGCCGTCTCCTCCCATCCACCCCCTCGTCTTTTTGTTTTCAGAGCAGTAGGGGGCCTGTCTGGAAACCTGGGTGGGAAAGTTCCCAGTGAAAGGGGTGAGGGGAGCGCCAGGGAAGCGGTGGAGGGAGGAGGGTGAGCAGGGTGTCTAGGAAAAACAACAAAAACAACCAGGAAGCAGCTCGGTTGCTGAAGACTTTGCCAGATTTTCCATCCTGCCCAGAGCGAACTGAATCACAGTATTTAGGAAAAGACAAATAGAGCTATTTTTCTTTTCTTCTGTGCAGTGTTTTTTGCAGTCTCAGGCCCTTACTTGAAAATTCTGGCCCCAATAAACAGAAATTTAGCAGAAAACAATTGATCTAAAATGCAGAGACTTTTCTCATTTTGCAGCAGGTGAGTTCTGAAAAGAAAGTGTCCACTTGGTGCTTTATTAAGTAGAAACTTACATTGGTGTAGTCACTCTAGGGTGAATTCGAGAATTACATGGAACCCGAGAAATCGTAAACTTTATTCTGAACCCCTAGAAAGCTAAAATGAAATGGCGCATTTTCACTCTTAACATCAAATGTTAAGCAAAAAAATCAAATCCAAACTATTTTACAAATATTACAGGATTTAACATTTGTTTCCAAAATCGATTCATCTTAGTTCCAAATCATTCAATATCTTATTTTAATTGCTGAGATCAAATGACCTTATTATCTAAAAAGAAGGAGCCCTTTCAAAGCATTAATGTTAACATGTTTAAGTTATGCTTTGTTAAGCGTCAATTTTATTTTCACCATATTTTCACTGTTTACAAGTCAGGGAATAGTTGAAAATGATCCAAAGTGGGGAGAATTTATATTTGTTAAATAAAATTCTCTTTTTTCTGTTTCATCAAAAAGGGGTATAACATCCTTAAAAGCTTTTGAAAAAGTCCCAGTTTATATAGAATCAGAAATATATGAAAGTGCCAGAATTAAATAGTATTGGTTTGTGATCCTTAAAGTCTGATCATTTTAATTAACAAAAAGCAATAATGTTTGATATCCTAGTAGGCTTCTCAAAAAGTTAATTGCTTCTGATTTTGCTTGTGCTATCATATAAACCAGAGAAAAGAACTTGTACAAATAAAAAATATATTAATTATTTTTCTAAGAAAACCTTTGCTGATTATGTAGTTTGTCAGTTACAGCACACAGTAGAGCTTACTTCTGCAAAGATGATTGCTATAGAGCGTTACCGTCATCTAGAGCTTTAGCATTTCAAGATGTTTTTCCTAAGCATTATTTCATTCAGAGTTTACCTCAAAGCTTTGAAGTGAGTATAATTATCTCCATTTTACAGATCATGAAACTAAGAACATTTCGTGAAAACTTATTTTAGGGGTGATGAAATTGGAGCCCTCCTACTGGTTTTCCTTAGGTATTGTTGCCACCATTAGCAGTCAGTGCGATCTCCAACATCTTTGATGAAGAAAAAATAAGGGAAAGGGACTTGAATTTCATGGGAAGAGATTCAGGTTAGGTGGGAATGAGTTGATCCTGAGGCAGAGTTCCCTGTCTCATCTTCATGTAAGTTCCTTCTTAGAAACCATCAGAGGTTTATAATCTGCCCCCATCATCTCCAGTCCGTATTCTCATCGCCTTCCCACCGCACACACCCAATCATACGCATGTGTTTATATTTTTTGACAATTACAGTGTCACTTGTGAACATATGTTTTAATTTGGCATAAATGGTAGTCTGATATCATTCTCTTTCCTCCTTTGTTCTACTCAGCCTGTGTTTTTAAGCTATGCACTCCTGGTTCATTGCTTCTGAAAGCTGCATTGTCTGTTCTAGAGCATGACTCCAGCACCATTTGCTCATACAGTCTTCTAGATCAGTGCTTCTCAAATGGGGCTGACTTTATGCTCCCCAAGACGTTTGGCAGTGTCCGGAGACATTTTTGGTTGTCACAACAAGGGGTGGGTGCTACTGACATCTAATAGGTAGAGGCCAGGGATGATGCCAAACATCCTACAATGCCTAGGACAGCCCCCTGCAACAAAGAATTATCCAGCCCAAAATGTCAATAGTGCCAAGATTGAGAAACTCAGCCCTTGGCTAGTGTTTCTCCATCCTGCTTGCACAGTGCAATCACCTGGGGAGCTTTTAAAATATACTGAGTGGGGTGGGGCCTGGACTGCATAGTAGTTTTTAAAGCTTCCCAGAGACTCTATCATTGAAAGTTAAAGAATTATAGGGAAGAAGGGTAATACAGAATTAATGAGAGAAGGGACTAGTAAACAATGCTTTATGACTGTGCAAATCCTGCTATTATAGATTTAGGTCCGTTACTGGTAAATTAGAGAAAATATTTGCCAGTTCGTTCCTTCTCTAGAGCGTGATGAAGATAAATGAGTTAAGATTGCCCAAGAGTTTTAAGATGAGTAAAATCAACAGACAGAATAAATAAGTATAAGTAGTGGCCTAGAGTCTGATATCACAACTCCAGCAGAAAATCTTTGAGGAGATCCTACACATGATGGGGATGGGGGAGTTTGCTTTGTTTTTGCTTCCCTTGAGCCCCAGCAAAGGAGCAATAATAGGAAATCTTTCCAAAAAACTTAGATGTAGTTGTTCCTGATAGGCGGTTGGAATCCACCCTCTGGCAGCTTTGTTCTCCTGTTTTACCTATTAGCTAATCAATCCATACCAGGCTGATTTTTCATTTGTGAACAAAGTGGCTGCTGGTGTCCAATGCCTTTTCTGAGAAAGAGAAAGATAGCCTCTTCAAAAAAATACAACCTGGTATAGATTTGTCGGACCCTTTAGCAGTGAGAGAGAGAGAAAGACAGACAGACACACACCAGTGTACACACCCACCTGGAGCAAGTAGTGTGTACCGTTCAGGAGGAAAGCATAACCTTGCATTCATACATTGTCCTCTCCATATCCTGCTATGGGAAAAAAAGACCAAGCACATTTCTATGGACTGGTAGGATTCATTTATATTTACAGGGCAGATCTCACAGTATGAGAGAAGGCTTTTGGCTTTTGGCATCCCAAATAAATATGGAAAATACAGGACCTAGGATCTATTGGTAGCTGTAACAATGGGTGCAGTTCAACAGCAGTAACATGACTTTGTGCATCACTTTGTCACTTTCAAAGTATTGTGACTCACATTGGATAGTCACAGAGACTCTGATTTAAATTAGGAGTTACAATTTTAGTTTTACAAATGAGAAAACTGAGATTCAAAGGCATGGCTGGGTCTAGACCTTTAGTCTGCTAATTTTTTTCAAGGGCTGTTTCGGACCAAATATCATCTGGTCTCTTGGTTAAGATTTAAACGGCTGTGTATCATCAGAACTATAGCCAGTTAACCAATTACGGAAACATTTAAAACTATACTTCAGTGCATTTTCATTTATTTCCTATCACCTACTTACAAAATTATACCTATATATGTATTGCTTGCGATAGTATAAAAAGGCAAGAATTTGACTAGGAATTTTGGTTGGGTTTAAATGATCTGCTAAGTTTTTTTATTAAGTATTTAAGCAAAGTTTAAAATATATATATATAATTTGAAATCATATTTGTTTCTCTATAATGAATGCTTCACACACCCAGATTACTTCTTAGCAGATGATCAAGTGAAGATGTTTTAGACTTAATACCCCAAATCTTCTTTTTTTCTAAAGGACTTTATGACTCCTCCAAACTTGCTTTAAAGGATTTTTTCCCCTTTTTTTTTTTTTTTTTAGATACGGAAAACGATCTAGCCCTGAGACACTGATTTCAGACCTCTTGATGAGAGAAACCACAGAAAACGTTCCCAGAACTAGGTATGAAAAGGCTCCTGTGGGATGTTGTTGTGGAGCCCAAGGTTCCCAGGGGAGGGAAATCAGAGGGTTGCCCAGGGAGGAGGTATTGGAATGGGGTCTTCCAGACCAGGTAGGATTTGGGCAGAAATGGGGATGAGGAACAAGGTAGGGAGGACCTTTCTTTCACGTACTCATTTGCAAACCTCTGAACTTCTGTGGGGTAGTATTTTCCAGCTCGAATTATTTGATGCTCCTTTGAAAAAATTAAATATAAGTGACTTTTATGTCAGAAGTTACTCTGTAGAGAATTGCTAACTGGGCTAGAATTGGGGGAGCACAGAGTGAGTCCCCATCTCGACATTGAAATCACCAACTGTGCATCTCTGGCTGGGATAGTCTTTGGTTTTTATACACTATGTGGAGTGTCTAAACATCCTAGGAAATGTTCCTCATGGGTCTCCCTCCAGTCTTCCTGATTTTACGTGAAGCTGTAGATAAATCAAGGGGTGCTTCTGTTTACTTTTGGACATATTTTAGTTTGACTGATGTCATATCGTAATTTATTGCATTCAATGAATGAATGTTGAACAACATATTATTCTTAGAGGCTTGTCTGTAACCTTGGGGTTTTCTTGGAGTGTGGGTCTGTCTTGAGAAGAGATGCCCACCAAAATCCAGGTGTCCAACATTGGGCTAGGATCCTCTGGTGCCACCTGGATGAGGAGTGCTCCTGAAAAGAAGCCTGATCCTCTGTTTCCATAACTGGCTCTTCCATCTGATGCCTCCTGCGTCTACCTCCAGTAAAAATCAGACACATACGGGTCATCCATTTTGGGGGTAGCACATCCGCCCTAAACTCAGAGCTCCACAGCGTCAAGAACCAAGTTCCCCAGAAGAGGTCACTAGAACACTTGCTCAGTGAGCGTGTTGGAGTGTCACTCTTCACTGGAGTTCTCTGGAGAGACTAAACAGATGCCCCACGGAGCCATTCGCGGTTCCTCCCAGCCTCCCTCTGTTCTCTTGTGAAATGGCAAGCCGGGGTGAAGGTGCAAGTCTAGAGTTGTCAGCTTTGTTATCTCTGAAGGAAACAACAATTTAGACTAGAATAACACTCCACTACTCTTGCCCCTGGAGATACTAGCCCAGACTTGAAGAGCAAATACAAGGGAAGCAGGTGGAAAATTCATACAGGTTGTTATTAAACACTAAGCAATAAATGCTTTTTAATGTTTCCTTGGCATGTATATGATGTTTGCCACAGTAAAAAGCTTAGGGTAAGCCATATCTACTTAGAGTCAGAAAAAGAACCATCCAGACCTGCTTACAACCTTGCTGCTCCTCTTTGTTTTGTGGCCCAAAGTCACACGGTTGGTGCATGAGATAGAGTTAATTGCACCCTGATGGACGGCCTCAATCACGTGCAGTTAGAGACAAAAGTTGACAGCTTTGAAGTTGCCTGTGAATGGTATTTTATTAAAAAGTGTTCCTTATAGTCTAATAAATAGCGTCTTACTACATAAAAAGCCTTGCAGGAAAACAAAGGAAGCATATTCAGAGTTGAGTAACAGTAACTTTCTTGTTGCAGTTTTGTGTGATTCCCATAGTTCTGATCTTCAGAAATATTGCAGCGTTCTTCCGCTTCTTTGATAAATACAGAGCCTTTTAAATACTCCCTCTGAGTTTTGCCGGAGCCTCCTGTTAACATGAGGGAAAGCTGCTCAGCTGGGTCCTTGCACGTTATGCCGCTGTCTCCCGCTCTGATGTTATACTTGGCGTCCTATTTAGAATGCCACCAGGAGCCTTTTCAACAGTTTCTGATCATCTTTCAGTTCAGAGCTGGATGTCTCACTCTTGCAGGCCTCCCAGGAAGTTGGGAAGCTTCTCTTACATGCTTTGCTTCCTATGTTTGACAGGCTCGAAGACCCTTCTATGTGGTGATGGGGAATGAAACTTGCTCTCCGGTCTTTGCCTGTTTTTCAACCCATACTTCATCTTGTAAAACTAGAGTCTGCCGGTCCTCCCAATGCATGAAGCCCCTGTGCTCAACTCTGCAGAGTTTCCCTTTGTCGTCATTGTATATATGTGCATTTAAATAAAATACCATGCATTCGAACGTGTGTGCTCCTCTGAAAAATCTGTTGTTGAAATAGAATTATTTTAAGTTATTCATTAAATCACAGTCTTCCTCAAGTAACTGATTCAAGGTGTGTTTCACCAATATTATAGTAGTGGCTATGGAAGATGTAAAGATATGATTCATGATGACCAAGACTCGTGTGTGTGTGTTTGTTTGTGTGTGTGTGTGTAACAATAGAAGTATTTGGAAGCGTTGAGCAGAGAAATGCTAATTTGGAACTCCCACCCCCAGCCCCATTCACGTGGAATCCTCCTTAGCCTATGCCGTCAGCAGAAATGATTGCTGTCCAACAGAACTTTCTGCAAAATGTCCTATATGTCCTCTGTGTAATAGGGGAGCCATCAGCCTCATGTGGGTTTTGAGCAGTTGAATGCAGCTAGTGCAAATAGGGAGGTGAATTTTAAATTGTATTGAATTTTAATTTAAATAGCCACATGTTTCTAGAGGCTACCACATCAGACAGCTCATGTCAATGCATTTACTTAGGCCACTCCTCTTCGAATTTGAGTCATAAACAGAAATACACTGAGTAGGATGATTGCCTTTTCACACAGCATGGGACATGTTAATTAGTTTGGCTAAAGGTTATTAAACTTTCCCCTTCCTTCATGTGTCTATTTGCATGGGCTTCATTTAAAATTAACATTGGGGCCAGCCCTGTGGCCAAGTGGTTAAAGTTCTGCCCTCTCTGCTTCAGCAACCCTGGGTTTGCAGGTTCAGATCCCAGGTGCGGACCTACACTCATCAGCTGCTCTGTGGAGGCATCCCATACACAAAGTAGAGGAAGATTGGCACAGATGTTAGCTCAGGGCTAATCTTCCTCACATACACACAAAAAATAAAATTAAATAAAATTGATGTTATTAGATTCTTACACATAATTTCCAAGTCAAAGAAAATGGGTCTCATCCATTTTCAATATTTCATATTCTCATCCATATTTGTACTTTGAATCACATTGTAAAAAATCTGCGCAAATATTTTTTTTGTGATGTCTTAAAATTGCTTACAAAAACCACATTTACATCATGACTTAGGGAATCTTATAGTATATAAAATATTCTCTCCATATAAAGAATTCTAATGTTTCATTAGCCAATGAAGTCAATGATGCTACGGAACATAATTTCCTTTAACGAAACAGATAAAACTGTTCTGCGATTTTCCTAAATTTCTCCTTATCTTTGTTTATTTGTGCTTTGAACTAAATACCAATATGTAAAGCATTTTTTAAAATCTTAAGATATTGAGTCAGTCACAATTTATTATCACACAATGTCAAAGTTCTTTATTAACCTAGTATATTAACCTAGTATATTTGGAGATTTTCTATATTGAACTTAGTATTATGCAAAGAAAGTTCACTCAAAGATTCATTTGTCAGCACAGATGTGTTGAATATTCAGCACCACATACAGAACTCTTCAGAGCAAACAGGAGTAAGGTATATGAACCATTGAAAGATAATCCAGGAATTTCATTTTAAACAAAAGTTTAAACTTCTTATCTCATCAAATAAAAGCCTGAAAGCTAAACATTAAACAGCCTACATTTTACCAATAATTAAGGCCTTGGTCTCTCGCCTATTCACCTCATCTTCCTAGAAAAAGAACTGAACCTTCACACCATGTGAGCTCTGTGGTCCTGAGTCAGTGGCTCACAGGTTCTCTGACCTTCAAATTCACTAAAAAATTTCTGAGTTCTCACTCACAAAATGGGGATAACACATCCAGTTCTGGGTACTTTCACCATAAGCATCCTTGCCATGGACTTCTTTGCTGCAAGTGTCTTTCCTACAAACATTTTCACCACGTAACCAATTTCCCATAAGGCAATTTTGACATAAAAGACAAAATGATGAGAAATAAAAGAAGGACATTAAAAAAGGACATAATAAAACACGAAAAATGAATATCAAAATGAAAAAGACTATTGCAAAATATGAAATATTTGAATACATTTAAAATGTGTTTAGATTCATGGCAATACAGCCCAAATAACCGATTTTATTCTGTGGGTTGTACCTAAGCACTTGTCTTCAAAGTCTGTCTTTACAGTATCGTACATGTTTTTCTTTTTTTGTTGTTGATTCATGTTTTTTTGCTTGTTGATTCATCTCCTTGTTTGGCATCCATTGCACTTTTTCTCTTTTGCTAAAATTTTCTTCATTAAGAGAGGTATCAATTTCCAAACACTAGGATGCATATTTGTGACAGAGCTTTGCATTGAACTGTGAAAAACCTTCTACTCTGTTGTTTGTTCTTGGCATTTTAGGGGAGGAAGACATTTCTTCTACCCTCTCTGGGTTCGTCTGGCTGGAGAATGAATTAAATTCACTTGAGATAGAATAGCAGGAGAAAATTAAACAAAGCTTTATAACATGTATACATGGGAGAGGCTCAGGCAAGCTGAGCAACTAGCCAAAATGGCTGAAGCCCCCACATTAAATATCATCTTCAGCTAAAGACAAAGGAGGATGTTGGGGGTGAGGGGGAGTCAGTTACAGGAGGTTACCAGACAAGCACAACAAACAAATGCAGATTTAAGTCCTTGTCTTCCCCATTGATTAAGAGTTTCTAGAGATAAGGTCATCCCCCCTTCTTCCTGGTACAGAGGGGGAGACATCTTTACAGATGGAGATTTCCTTTACAGTGTGAATGTCTCTTACAAAGGGTAAGTAAATTCTACTTTTCAGTTGCTTTCCTGTCTGCAAAGTAACCAGCCCCAAATAATCATCATGTCAAAGAGACATATCTTGTGGTGGCCAATTCCAGGCCCCCACAGCATGTTGTCACATGTCTGTTGATAGATGTTCCAGAGTTTTGTGGGAAATGTGGAGCTAAGATTTATATAAAATAAATATGGGAGTACTGCATCAATGGAGAAATGACACCAAACTGTCAACCAGTTATTTTGTCTTTTATGGCAAAATTGCTTTACAGCCAATTCGTTATATGGCGAAAATCTTTGCAATGAAAATGCTTGTGGCGAAGATGTTTGTGGCAAAGAAGCTTCCAGCGAAAATACTGGACAAGGAGAAATCCTGCCCAACTTTCCACATCTACATTGGGATCAAAATTCAAGTTAAGATAATGTTACGAGTAAGTAATAGGAGGGAGGTGGATAAGGAAGAAATTTTTGATGATTCCTGTGTTGGATTACAAATCTCTTGCTTTAGGTTGAATGTTTGTCTCCCTCCAAATTCATACGGTGAAATCCTAAACCCCACTTGGAGGTGGGACCTTTGGGGGTGATTAGGTCATGAGAGTGGAGCTCTCATGAATGGGATTAGTGCCCTATAAAAGGGACCCCAGAGTGCTCTCTTGTCCCTTCCATCATAGGAGGACACGGTGAGAAGATGGTCATCTATGAACCAGGATGCAGGCTCTCACCAGACACTGCTGGCACCTTGATCTTGGACTTATCAGCCTCCAGAACTATAAGCAATAAATTCATATTGTTTTTAAGCTATCTATCCATAGTAATTTGCTATAGCAGCCTGAACAGACTAAGATATCCCTAATAAGCAGGAATTTTCTTTAGGAAGTACAACAATGGTAAACTCTTAAAAATTGTAAAACTACATTCCAAAAGATTGTCTAGTCACATTTTTCAAATATTTTCAGCCTGCCAGCCTCCTTGGAATAGGTGTAAAGGCACCAGATCACCCACCTGTCATTGCAAATAATAATAATAATCCTCCCTGAAGTTACAACAAGAGTGACTCAGCCTTCGTTAACGAGATGCCTGTAAGCAACATAATCATTAGCAAGTAAATCTATAAGTATTTGTTAGCTTTCCCCTGATCCAAACTCTGCTCTACATTCTAAGAGGTATAAATTGTGCATAAGTTTTTTGCAGATGACGTTGTGTTTTTATTTTGATCCTTACAATGCCATGACACATTCAAGCAAATAATTATTCCCCCTTTTCTCACAGATGAGGAAACTGAGGCCTAGGAAAAATACGTGACTTTCTCCACCTCATTCCAGTTAGAGAGACTAGACAGCAGCTCCTCTACTTGCAGACTTTGCCCTGCCTGATGATGTCTTGTGGAAGGTGTAAGTCAAGACCAGGTCGGATATAATCCAGTTAAGAATATAACTCTGGCGCACTTAAAACAAATTAGACAATAACAAAGTACTAAACTGTGCAAAAGGTATTTAGAAAAGGGAATGAATGTGGGTAGAATTAGCTGCAAGAGGCTTAATAGAGAATGTGAATGTTGAGCTGGGATGGAGGACATTTTGGGTGAGGTGAGCAGCTGGGTTAAACACAGAGATGGATCAGCCACAGCTTGTGTAGGAGAAGTCCAGGGGTCTACCCAGCAGGAACAGAGGCAGAGTGGCCAGAGGTTGGATTGATGAAGTAGGTCTAGGAATCGCCAAACTCATTCACCCATTCATTCTCTCACTTGACATTTTTTGAGTATCTAATATGTATTGGATATTGTACTAAGCACTGGGGATATAAAGATCAATAGTAGTTTCTCAGGGAATTTACCACCTAATGAGGGAAACAGGTAATTACCGTGCATTGTCGGAAGCACAAAGATGGGAGTGTTAGAAGTTTGGGATGTAGTCAAGTGCTTCCTTCCCCCTCATCGTGCTTCCCTTTGTCAGTTTCCTGACAAAGGATCTGTCAATATGTGAATCAGTTACCAAATGGGGAACAAAGTGCAGGATGGGCAAGTGTCCAATGAGGCCAAATGCAGGGCTGCCCTAAGCTGAGTCAGGGTGCCTGGCTGAGGCCTGAGCCTCTAGAGTAACCCTGCCCCCATACCAAATCTCTGCATCCTTGTAGAGAGTGACAGGAGCACTGAGGTCTGTGAGGCGGCCTCCCAAATCCACTCACCCAAACAGCCACATAGACAACAAGAGCCAGCCTGCCACATCCGGATGCAGATGGAAGAAGAGAAGGGCACTCATGACTGTGCATACCCTTCACATACAGCGTCCCTGTCCACGGTGCAGTGTGGTC